TGTTTCCATAACTTGGCTATTGTGAATAGTGCTGCAATAAACATGGGTGTGCAGGTGCCTCTGGAGTAACCTGTGTCACAGTCTTTTGGGTATATCCCCAAGAGTGGTATTACTGGATCAAATGGTAGATCAATGTCTAGGTTTTTAAATAGCGTCCAAATTTTTGTCCAGAGTGGTTGTACTAGTTTACATTCCCACCAACAGTGTAAGAGGGTTCCTTTTTCCCCACATCCTTGCCAACACCTGTTGGTGGTGTTGCTGATGATGGCTATTCTAACAGGGGTGAGGTGGAATCTTAGTGTGGTTTTAATTTGCATTTCCTTTATTGCTAGAGATGGTGAGCATTTTTCCATGTGTTTTTTGGCCACTTGAATTTCTTCTTTTGAGAAAGTTCTGTTTAGTTCACTTGCCCATTTCTTTATTGGTTCATTAGTTTTGGGAGAATTTAGTTTTTTAAGTTCCCTATATATTCTGGTTATCAGTCCTTTGTCTGATGTATAGCTGGCAAATATTTTCTCCCACTCTGTGGGTGTTCTCTTCAGTTTAGAGACCATTTCTTTTGATGAACAGAAGCTTTTGAGTTTTATGAGGTCCCATTTATCTATGCTATCTCTTAGTTGCTGTGCTGCTGGGGTTTCACTGAGAAAGTTCTTGCCTATACCTACTAACTCCAGAGTATTTTCTACTCTTTCCTGTATCAACTTTAGAGTTTGTGGTCTGATATTAAGATCCTTGATCCATTTTGAGTTAATCTTGGTATAGGGTGATATACATGGATCTAGTTTCAGTTTTTTGCAGACTGCTAACCAGTTTTCCCAGCAGTTTTTGTTGAAGAGGCTGCTATTTCTCCATCGTATATTTTTAGCTCCTTTGTCAAAGACAAGTTGGTTGTAGTTGTGTGGCTTCACATCTGGGTCCTCTATTCTGTTCCACTGGTCTTCATGTCTGTTTTTGTGCCAGTACCATGCTATTTTTATTGCTACTGCTTTGTAATATAGTTTGAAGTCAGGTATTGTGATACCTCCTGCATTGTTCTTTTGACTGAGTATTGCCTTGGCTATTCGTGGCTTCCTGTGTTTCCATATAAATTTCACAGTAGATTTTTCAATCTCTTTAATGAATGTCATTGGAATTTTGATGGGAATTGCATTAAACATGTAGATTACTTTTGGGAGTATCGACGTTTTTACTATGTTGATTCTACCAATCCATGAGCATGGGAGATCTCTCCACTTTCTATAGCAAAGAATTTTTTTTTAACTGTCCACAGAAATGTACTGTTGTTTGACTTTTTATTGACAATTAATGAAGGACTCAGACTGAAGTCTTGTAGCTTTTTTTTTTTTTTTTTTTTGATGGTACTGGGGTTTGAATTAAGGGCCTCACACTTGCTAGGCAGATACCCTAGCAATTTAGCTATTTCATTAGCCCTTTTTTGTGTTGAGTGTTTTTGAAATAGGGTCTTAAGAACTATTTGCCCAGGATGGCTTCAAACCATGATCCTTCTGATCTCTCTCTGCCTCTTGAATAGCTAGGATTACAGGTGTGAGCCACTAACGCCTGGCCCAATTTATCTTATCTATTAGAGATACAAATAATTTCTGTTCACAAAGTCAACCACAAAGGTTGGCTTTTTTTTTTTAAATGTACCTTAAGACAATAACTAGTTTGTATATCATCCAGGAACCCCAGTCTCTCAGTCCTGTTTAAACATCTGTAAATACCCACTTCCTCAAAATTCTTTTTGAATCAGCTCTACCATCTTACTTACTCCCTCTTGAATGAGTTAAGTCTTTAACATGTGTTTATTCTTTATTTCTTAGGAGCTTTGTTTTCACCTTCACTATTGATTTCACTTTGATAGTGGCAATGGGTGTACATTTTCTTCAAGTTCAAAACAATAAGCTACAACACTAAAAATAAAGCAATGACATTTGTGTGTCTTCTAATATGTAAAGGGCTTTCTCATAGGTGATTTTTAATTTTTTTGGTGGTACTGGGGTTTGAACTTAGGGCTTTGTGCTTGCAAAGCAGGCATTTCTTGAGCCACACCTCCCGCCCTCTCATAGGTGATTGTATTTGATATTGACTCTTGAGATTGCTCTGTGAGGAAATAGAGCAGATGACATTAGTCCCACTTAACTGGTAACTGAGACTTACTCCCCGGGCCAACCATGTCCAAAGTGGCAGAACCAAGATGGTTCCAACATCAAGCTACTGGCATTGGCTGGCTCCTGCTCCTCTGCCTTCCATACCTGTCTGTCCTGGTGACATTGTTAAACCGAGCATTAAGAAAAGCCCCTAGATGGAAAGACCCCAAGTGGAAGCAGCTGGATGGGGCATTGCAGTGAAGAGGGCCACTCTGACAGTAGTGGTGTGTATGTGGCTTCACTTGGTAGCACTACCCTGCAACAGCGACTTAGTCCTCATGGACAAAGGCTCCCCCACCCTGAGTCCTCAAACCCCTAGGGACCATCTTTCAATGTAGCAATAAGGGGCCCAGAGTGATTAGCAATATTTCAGAAAGCTTAAGGGAGATCATACATCTCCCTGTGACAGGTCTGCCCAGACTAAATGACATGTCATTTCTTTGCTTTTTGGCTGGAATTCTGTCAGCTCAGTCTGGCTGTGCTGCTTATCTGGGGCCGATCAGGAACCCTGATTGGACCTTATATGCGTCCTTGGCAAATAAAAATGAATGATTACTTAATAAATGCAATTGGTTTGGCAGATGCAGCCTTCTGAAGCATGGCTCCAGGGAACGCCAAGGAGCCTAACGAAAGGGGTTTTGGTGGCACTGAGGTGGGTACCTGCTAGCTCACCTGGGACTAGCTCTAGCTGAGGCCCCCTCTCTCAGGAAACAGAAAATGGAGGCCCTGGGGCACCCAGCATGTCAGTGTGAGTCAGAGAACTTGCCTGGGGGCGAAGTCCTGCTCCTAATATGAAGAAACACTGTGTCCTGGGGTGTCTGTTTCACCCCAGGCATATGCTAGGAGCTGCAGTGCTGGTATGGTAACGGGGCATGATATCTTCATCTCTTCAGAGGTATAACAAGAGCTAGTCTGCCTCCCTTCCAGGAGTGTCACGAGGCATCAGTAATGACAGCCACAGGGACACCTGGGAGAGGTGCCCCTGTGACATTCTCATTTACCTCTCCAGCCACCCTTGAGAGCATCACTATTGCTATTTCCATTTTACTCAAGCTGAGCATATAAACAACTTGTTTCAGTCCACAAAGCTAATGGAAAAGTGCAGAAGACATGAGCCCTATGCTCGTGCTTTGCTGGAGGGCTGGGTGGTCATACCTATTTTAAATCCTCTTTCTAGCCATGGGCAGTAAACGAATCTTGGTTCCTCACCTGCAAAGTGTGGCTCATACCTCTATCTACCATTTGGGCTCTTAATAAGATTGCTGTCTTTGTTTTTATTTATTTATTTTCTTTGAGAGGTACCTTTACCAACTTTGTTTTTAAAGCAGGGCTATTCTTGATCATTTAATTTGGGGCTAGTTATAACTGATTGGGTTTCAGAGGAGATTAATGGGAGTAGGAAAAGCATTAGACATAGGAACCACAGCATCTCAGAAGACCACAGAGATCTGAGGGTCTCACTCATGTCAGATGCAGAGTCCTAGATTCATGTGTCTTGTGCTGTTACAAGCAAGTGCATGCATCACAGAGCCAGTCTATGGTATATAAATTACACCTCAATAAAGCTGTTTAACAAAACAGGGCCAGTCCCTGCTGTCTTGGAAGTTATGATAGTGGGCCACATGGTCATTAATTAAAGAATCATAAGAATAACTGCTAGTGCCATGAAAGAACAGCATAGCATCCTGTAGAAGTGGATGGTGAGAGAACCTCTTCCAGCCTGGGATGGGAAGGAAGAGGGCCTGAACCTAGTGATGGGGAAATGGCAGGAATGCTTCTGGTGACAGAAAGAGCATGTGCAAAGGCCCTGAGGTAGGAAAGCACAGGGATCACTGGAAAAGAGAAAGAGTAACTGGCTGAAGTGTCAAGGTACTACAGTATGAGACCTTGCAGGGAGGCAGGGTCTGGTTATGCAGGACTCTGTAGGTTGAGGAAAAATCTTAATCCTGTGCCCCCCCTCCCCATGAGCCTTATCTCTTCCTCTCTGGCTGGGATATATTTGTTAATGACCAAGGAGTCCAACTGAGACTGATGTCCCAGTGACAACCTGTGTCCTGGGGTATCAGCTTTCTAGTTGAGTGTGTCTTTGTACCCTGGAAACCCATCTGCAGATTGTTTGCAGGCCCAGGTCTGGCTGTATTCAGCAGCTGTTCGCTAGTTGGGAAGAGGCTTTTAGCTTTAATAAAAAAGGGAGTAGAGATAAGAAGACTGCTTCGGCGGGGAGAGCAGCAGTGACTGGATGATTTAAATGGCCTCTCCAGGGTCATTTCTTCTGTGCAGACATCATAAATCAGATTAGCATTGGGCTCTGGTGGGGAGGGGAGAAGGGCCAGGACTCTGAGACTGCTTGGGACTGGCCTGGAGCCAGTGGGGCAGCCCCAGAGGATTGGGGTGGGGTCACTTTTTCCTCAGCCCCATTCCTGATCTTTGGAGAAGGGATGGATGGGATAGCTCCCCTGACCCATTCTCAGCTTTGGGGAAGGAAGGAAGGGGGCACACAAGAGAAATAGAGGAAGAGCGGAGAGACGGTGTGGGAGGTGGAGTGTGGCAGTTCTCCTGCCTTACCATACATTGAAGTCACCTGGGAACTTTAAGAAAGCACTGGTGCCTGGTGCCATCCACAGTGTCTGGGTTCCAGGTGATTCTAATGTGTGGATGAGGCGGAGAAGGCTGAGCTTCTATCTTAAATACAAGAACTACATGACCTCAAGCTGTCACTTCTGCCACCATCATTTAGGTCCACCTGGAGCCTTTGGTCTCCTCTTGACAGTGACTAGGTTGAGGGAGCAGAGAAGCTCCTGAGACCGGTGTGGATGGAGCAGAACTACCACCCCCTCCCTTGTCTTCCAGATCTCCCGCCACCTGGGCAAGATGTATAGCGAGATGATCTTTGTCAATGGCTTCGTGCACTGTGATCCCCATCCAGGCAATGTGCTGGTGCGGAAGCACCCGGTCACAGGCAAGGCAGAGATTGTCCTGTTGGACCACGGACTCTACCAGGTAGGAGAAGCCTTTCCTGCCCAGCCTGGGGGCTGCTCCTGCTGGGATTAGAGCCCGCTGAAGTTGCCCAACAGCCACTCAACTGGGAGGCAGAAAGCTGAGGTAGCTGGAGATGACCCTTCCTCCTCCAAGAACTGTCATTTTGTGAATGTCACTAAGAGCTCTCTGAGCTTCCACTTCCTTGCAATAAGTGAGTTTGTGCTCACTTCCTTTACAGCTATCATGGCTTGTAATGGAAATGTGTCTGAATATATGACTGTGCCCTCCCAGGGATCTGCAGGCCAGTCCAGATCTGGGAAGGGGGTTCCCTCATGTGAGAGCTGTGGCTGATGGTGGTCAGGTGGCCCCAGACTCTGTCCTCTGGAACTCAGAATGAAGAGCTATGAATGAACCCTGAGTTCCCATTTGCAAGGTGGGGAGTTCATGCCGATCCAGGACCCTGGCTTGGCCTAATTTCCATGAAGCAGGTGGTGCTGGGGAGGCTCCCCACGGGCTTCTCCTTCCTCAGGCCCTCATTCCACATCAACCTCCTCTGAAAGGCTCAGTGAAGTAGAGTGCAGGCCAAGTTAGGGCAGCTGTTGCCACACAGGCCAGACAACAGAAGTTTAATGGCTTGCTCATGTGCCACTCTTGAGTGTGGGAGAGTCTGTAGGGCTGTATTTGTCAGGCTTCACTAGAGGTGACAGTGCCATCAGCCAGCAGCAGGGGAGACATCTCCAAGGAGCATGCATGGGAAAGCTTTGGGAGAAGTGGAGCTTCCACCACATTCCAGCAGTCAATGCTCAGGCAGAGCCACATCTACCTTCATGGGGGCTGGGAGAGTAGCCTGTACCTGGGAGGAAGAGTAGAAGGTAGACTGTGGTGTGAAGTTAGCAGTATCAGCCACTTAGAACCAAACATAGGTAGAACATCCCTAATGTGAAAATCTGAGCTTCCAAAATGCTTCAGATTTGAAACTTTTGGAGCTCCACCACAAGTGGAAAATTCCATGCCATGAAATTTTCATGCACAAAATTATTAAAAAATATTGCATAAAATTACCTTTAGGCCATGGGGATAATGAAACATAAATGAATTTTGCTTAGACTTGGGTCCCATCCCCAAGATATTATATATATGCAAATATTCCAAAATCTGGAATCCAAAATACTTCTGGTTCCAAGCATTTCACATAGGAGATATTCAACCTGTAGTGGCTTTGAACTTGGGTCTTCAGGGATGGCCAAAGTTTGGGCCATCCTCAGCCCCCATTATAGTGGTTAGCACCAGTCAGGGGCTCAGGACTCTGGTGGGGAGAGGAGGCTTGGGTCCTGCCACTGCTGTCCTGGTCGTAGGTGCTCACTGAGGAGTTCCGCCTGGATTACTGCCACCTGTGGCAGTCTCTGATCTGGACCGACATGCAGAAGGTGAAGATGTATAGCCAGCGCCTTGGAGCTGCGGATCTCTACCCCTTGTTTGCTTGCATGCTGACAGCCCGGTCGTGGAACTCTGTCAATAGGGGCATCAGCCAAATTCCAGTCACTGCTACTGAGGTAGGTAGCTGGCTTCTGGCCTTGCCTCCTCCCAAATGCAAGAGATGTCCTGGGGACTCCATCCGACCCAGAACCTGAGAGTCTTGGTCAGTGGGCTGTGTGCAGAGGGTGGAATTGGAGCTGTGCCTGATGAGAAGCAGGGAGAGGAGAAGAGAGGATAGCCTGGATGAGGGGGAAAAGAGAAGGTATCACTCTGTGTTCCCCCGGTGTTAGCATCCTGGAGTAGAAGCAAAGTCATATGGACATAACAACTCAGGCTTCTCTGACTTTAGCTCTAATCTGCTCACACAACATGTCAGGCTTCCTCTCCAGGACCACTGGGAAGCCTTAGGGACTTCCCGTTCCTACCTCTGGCAGCAATTTGGTGTCCCCCACCCGGCCTTATTTCCCATTGTGTGGCCTTTCAGGCTCCCCAGTGGGGAGAGCCCTTTGCTTCCCTGCCATCCTCACAGTGCTGCTCATTCCTTCCTTCGTCTTTCAGACCTCTTAGTGCAGCAGCTCCTTTTGTCTTTGTTGCTCTTTTCTCCATGGATCCAGATGGTGCATTGAAGTCTAGGACACAGATCCTGGGAGCACCTGCCCCCACTGGGACACTATGTTCCCCATAGGTGAGCTCATTCCTCCTGACTTAGGTGGGCTCCCTTCCAGGAATCCTTCCTAGAATTGACTTCTGTCCGTTTACTCTGTTGGTTTCCAAGCCCAACCACACTGACTCAGTGTTGGATGGACTCAGGCTCCAGTGAGGCCTGTGCTCACTGCAGGGGACAGGGCCCACCTGTGCTGCCAGGAAGCTGGGACTCTAGTTGCAGACCCTCCTCTTCTTGGTGGTATGACCTTGGGTGTTCACATCATCCATGTGGACCTCACAGCCCTCCTCTGCAAGCTGCTCTGTGGTAGGAAGCTCTAGGAATGGATAGATCCAGACCCTCAAAGAGTCCATCTCTTGACTCCTCTTCGTCCAAGTTCGATATCATTCTCCAGCAAACTTAGTGACAAAGATGACCACATGCTGGCTCCACAGCTTTAAAGCTCATCTCAGAGAGAGAGACACTATCTCCCTCTTTTGTAAGCTGGGATGGTACCTGCTTTACTGGTAATACATGTGCCTATCCACAGTTCCTGAACTTTATTTATTCAACAAACATTTGTTTTTGTTGGACCCCAGGCCTGATGCTGAGGATCCCATGATCCACAAAACAGACAGGCCTTTCATGTATGATTTACTCTTTGGTTGAGGGAAACAGACAGTAAGCAAATGTAAAGAGGCAAGTGAAATAACAGGCAAGCAGGCACTGCAGAGGAAATGAGCGAAGCAGTGTGAGTAAAGGAGGGGGTTGCTAAAAGAAGACCTCTGTGAGAACTTCACATTTGAGCTGAGGTGTGAAGGACAAGAAAGGCACTGGCCCTAGGAGGATCCTGAAGATGCATTCCTGGCATGAAAAGGCCCAGGGGAAAAAGAGTTTGGTGTGGTCTGCAGTGTGGTGAGGAGGATGGTGGCAAGAAAAGAATTTGGAATTCTGGGAAGGGGAGCATCTCACAGGGCCTTAGAAGCTGCAGAGAGAAGTTTGGATTCATTCCCAGTAGGAAGTGACAGGCTTTAAGTGGGAAAAGGAGATGCTCAGACCTGCTGTTTTTAGGTGTTTCTTGGGATTAGAGCAAGATGAGCAGTGGGGCGATTGGTTAGGAGCCTGAGCCAGGCCTTCAGGTCAAGAGATGACTTGACGATGCTGGTGCTAACAAAGATGGAAAGGAGCAGGTGGAGTGGAGCCAAGGTGTGTTTTGGAGGTGGGATTGAGGACCTCGGATTGGATGTGAAGGAAAGGGAAGGGAAGAGTCATGGTTTGCATCATGGTTTTTTGAGACACTTTCTATGGTGGGGGTGGTGCTGCTTCCTGACACAGGGAAGACTTTGGAACGGACACATCTGGGGTAAGGCTGGTCAACAGTTTTCTTTTTTTTCTTTTACTATTCATATGTGCATACAAGGCTAGGGTCATTTCTCCCCCCTGCCCCCACCCCCTCCCTTACTACCCACTCCGGGGCCCCCCTCCCCCCCCCGCTCAATACCCAGCAGAAACTATTTTGCCCTTATCTCTAATTTTGTTGTAGAGAGAGTATAAGCAATAATAGGAAGGAACAAGGGTTTTTGCTGGTTGAGATAAGGATAGCTATACAGGGCATTGACTCACATTGATTTCCTGTGCATGTGTGTTACCTTCTAGGTTAATTCTTCTTGATCTAACCTTTTCTCTAGTTCCTGGTTCCCTTCTTCTATTGGCCTCAGTTGCTTTAAAGTATCTGCTTTAGTTTCTCTGCATTGAGGGCAACAAATGCTAGCTAATTTTTTAGGTGTTTTACCTATCCTCACCCCTCCCTTGTGTGCTCTCGCTTTTATCATGTGCTCATAGTCCAATCCCCTTGTTGTGTTTGCCCTTGATCTAATGTCCACATATGAGGGAGAACATACGATTTTTGGTCTTTTGGGCCAGGCTAACCTCACTCAGAATGATGTTCTCCAATTCCATCCATTCACCAACGAATGATAACATTTTGTTCTTCTTCATGGCTGCATAAAATTCCATTGTGTATAGATACCACATTTTCTTAATCCATTCGTCAGTGGTGGGGCATCTTGGCTGTTTCCATAACTTGGCTATTGTGAATAGTGCTGCAATAAACATGGGTGTGCAGGTGCCTCTGGAGTAACCTGTGTCACAGTCTTTTGGGTATATCCCCAAGAGTGGTATTACTGGATCAAATGGTAGATCAATGTTTAGCTTTTTGAGTAACCTCCAAATTTTTTTTCCAGAGTGGTTGTGCTAGTCTACATTCCCACCAACAGTGTAAGAGGGTTCCTTTTTCCCCGCATCCTCGCGAACACCTGTTGTTGGTGGTGTTGCTAATGATGGCTATTCTAACAGGGGTGAGGTGGAATTTTAGTGTGGTTTTAATTTGCATTTCCTTTATTGCTAGAGATGGTGAGCATTTTTCCATGTGTTTTTTGGCCATTTGAATTTCTTCTTTTGAGAAAGTTCTGTTTAGTTCACTTGCCCATTTCTTTATTGGTTCATTAGTTTTGGAAGAATTTAGTTTTTTAAGTTCCCTATAAATTCTGGTTATCAGTCCTTTGTCTGATGTGTAGCTGGCAAATACTTTCTCCCACTCTGTGGGTGTTCTCTTCAGTTTAGAGACCATTTCTTTTGATGAACAGAAGCTTTTGAGTTTTATGAGGTCCCATTTATCTATGCTCTCTCTTAGTTGCTGTGCTGCTGGGGTTCCATTGAGAAAGTTCTTACCGATACCTACTAACTCCAGAGTATTTCCTACTCTTTCCTGTATCAACAGTTTTCTTGAGCAGGTAGGGTTGTCTTGGGAAGTTAAGACTGGAGTGCAAAGAAGAGGCCCGGACTTGGGATATTTGGGAGTCTTCAGCGTGTAGATGGTATTTAAAGCCATTGGGTTGAACAAGGGTCACAAAGCACCTACTAGGTACTTAGTGACTGGCGTCTGTACTTATTAACCAAGATAAAATTTTGTACTTGCATTTTTACTCATTATTAACGACCCAGGTTCAGTGTCAGTCCTCTGGAGAAGCGCGCTCTCCTCCAGGAATTTCCGTCTTTCCTCGGAACCTTTGCTGACAACTACCCACCAGTGCTCATAATCACTTATGGGGCAAGTGCATCATAGGCCTCGCAGAGTAGTTCTTTGTATATCCTAACTCTCCAACTGCATGGTGAGCACCTGAACAGCAGGGACTCTGTCTCACACATCTTGGATGAGGTCCCTGTAGCCCTGGTAGACAGGCAGTGATGCAGGTTCTGGGGACACTGGCTGTCTGCTCAGTTGGACAAGAACTCAGATGCAGGGTGACCTGCTGGGTCAGGCCCAGCCAGCCCAGCTTCTGAATTAAGAAAGGCTTTGTCTTTCTGAGCCATGCTCCCATTCAGAATTAAGGGAACCCTCAACATTGGGTCAGGCAGGATATCTCCCCCCTGTAAATGAGGCCTAAACTATGAGGAATTTGCTCTCTCCATAACAAGAAGCCTGGAGGGAAGTGGGCCCAGGTTGGTTACCTCAGCAGATCCTCAGACTTGGGCTCTGGGCTTGCTCTCGTGACTTTCTTGGCTTTCCTCTTGACATTGCAGGATGACAGTGGTCCTTTAAACCATCACATCTTCATTCAGTGGTGACCAAGTTAGGAATCAGGGGCATGTACCCTCATGTGTCATTTCTTGAGAGTAAGGAAACCTTTCCCAGAAATCCCCCAAATGACTTGTCCTCATGTCTCATTGATCAGAATCATGTCACATGTTCCTGCCTAAGCCAATCCCTGGGCAAGGGGAAGAGTGCTCAGAGCCAGCATTGGCTGGAAACAAGCAAGATTCCCTCTAGGACTCCAGGGAGTTCCGAGTCACTGAGGAGCACAGCCCCGAGTGAACAAAACTGCAGCTGTTTAACAAAGGAGAGTGTGTGAAGGTTAAGAGTGGGTGGGTGGCTGCTCGATAGGCCTCACCATTGGCATGTGCACAAGCCTGTAGGCTTTACTGCTCTGAGAGCGACTCTGGAAGGCTTCTGGGGACAGAGGTGCTTTCTCTTTGGGCTGAGGGGCTGTTGGCAGCCTAGCCTTGAGCTCACTGAGAGGGGTCCCCATGGTGAGCCAGGTCTTGGTCTAGCCTTCGTGGTCAAGCAGGGTGACTGTAGCTGTGACAGCAGACAGCCTCTTGGCACCTGGCTTGTGTTGAGATGTTCCAGTCTGATAGCTCCCGCTGAGGGACATTTCAGGTTTCACAGCAAGGGGTTATCCATAGCTGCCTCATGCTTCAAAGGGACTTTGGGTTCTGCTTTTGCTACAGAGCAGGCGGTGGCAAGGCCTCTCGGCAGCACTGTTGGGCCCTCTGGTTAGATGAGGATTGGCACTGAGTGCTGCCCCATACCTTATCTCTGATGCCTCTCTCCACGCTGTTGTGAGGCGGGCAGAGGGCATTAGCATTCCTAGGTTTTGGGTGAGGATATTGAGTGGAAAGAGATCAAAGAACTTGTCTAAGGTCATACAGTCTTGCTAATAGGAGGCAGGGAGCCAGTAGGTGAGGGCCCTGGCTCCGGGGCTGGGATGCCTGGGTATAAATCCTGATCCACCACTTTAGGTGGACCTGAGATGGGTGACTTCTCAGTGCCTCAGTTTCTCATGTTAAGTGGAGATATACATGCAATCTAATAGAGGTGTTACGAAGATCCAATAAATTAATACATGTCATCATTTTCAAAGTGCTTGCTTAGGAAATGCCCAGTGCATGTTGGCTACCACCACCTTCATCATCATTTTCCTGGAGACTGAAAAGGGGTCATAGCCATACTGTCAGGTCCACAATTCTGGCTGGGCACAGTTGTCTGCCTTAGACCCTTGCAGAGCTCAGGGACAGGGAAGGGTGGGAAACCAGGTCCCAAACTTAAACACAGACTGGGGCAATGCCTGTGGGGCTGACCAGTGTCAGGGGCTAGCCCTGGATCCTGTTCAAGAGTGTCAGGCCCTCAGGCTACAGCACAGGGGACAGTGATAGCAGGACAGTGTGGGCAGCAGGTAGAGCTGGTTTGCTGCAGGGTCTAGGACTGGGACTTGGGAGTTGGGTGAATTCAGGAGCTCAGACCAATGCACTATAGCAGCCTGGGCTTGCCTGATGAGGGGCATGATTCGGATGGTCCCAGCTCTTAGGGATCCTTCTAGGCCAGTGAAGAAGCTTGGAGAGTCACCAGCCCTACTGAATGCACAACTTTGCCGCATCCATGTTTGGCTAGGAGCTGAGCTGGGGCCTTCTGTCCAGGTTGCCAGGCCACAAAGTTCCTGGGCTACACCTCTGTCTGGGGAGTGCTCCTGTGGTGTCAAGACAGCTGTGGTAGGAACTCCCTCGTATAGCCTCTCTGATCTGAGGTTCTCAGACCTTCACCACCCTGGCCCTGCTTCTAACCATCGCTTCTGTCTTCCCATTGCTGCCTCAGGACTCAGAGATCCGCAGCAATGCAGCCACCTACCTCCCTCAGATCAGCCAGCTTCTCAGCCACGTACCGCGCCAGATGCTGCTTATCTTCAAGACCAATGACCTGCTGCGCAGCATCGAGGTCACCCTGGGCACCCGTGCCAGTGCCAGCTCCTTCCTCAGTATGTCACGGTGCTGCATCAGGGCACTGGCTGAGTGAGTGTGGGCTCCTGCCTCTACTCCCCTCCCAACTCCTGGCCTTCCCCATTGGTCCTGCTTGCCTCTGCTTTCCCCACCAGTCCACGGAGCCCTGACTGTGCTTCCCAAGTTCCGCATCTCACTGTAGGGAAAGTTAAGGAAAGAAAGCAACTTCAGTGAACTGGTAGAGATCATGGGACAGTGGCTTTGGGTAGCCCAGAGAATTGCCTGTACTTATGGAGAGTAGGTTCTAGGACCTTATCCTCTCAGTCAGCTTTCCAGGTGATTCCTCCCCTTACTAAAGTTTGAATTGTTTCTGAGCATCTAGCCCATCCAGGATCTCCTGGGCTTGGGGTCAGGAAACCCTGATGCGGGCTGGGTGTGATGGCTCATGCCTGTAATTCTAGTTGCTTGGGTAGCTAGAAAGATTGTGGTTTGAGGTCACAATAAAAAAAAAAAAATTGTTGAGACCCTATCTCAGAAAACAAGCCAGGCATGCTGGCACATGTTGGAGGACCATGATTGGCCTGGGCAAAAACTTGAAACCCTATCTGAAAAAGCAAAAAGGACTAGGGGTGTGGCTCGAGTGGTAGAGTGCCTGCCTAGCAAGCGCTAGGCCCTGAATTCAAAACCCAGTCCCACTTAAGAAAAAGAAAATGGATACTGCGATGCAACCCCATCTCTGACTGGTTCTGAGACTTGGCTTCTAGGACTGGTCAGGCAGCAAGGCCAGTGCTCTTTTTCCTGCAGCTGTGATTATGACTCAGGAAAGTGAGTCCAGTAGGCTTTCTAGGGATCTCAGATCTTTCTGGAGGCTTTAGCACTCTTGAAGTGTTGCTGAGGAAGAGAGGAAGATAAGGGCACTGCCTCGGGAGATCAGTCCAGAGGAGTGAGGGTTCTAGGCCTCCAACTGAGTATGTAAATACATCAGAAGGTCTGTGCTCTCAGGGAATAGTCTCATCCCAGAGAGGAGGCCTAGCTTGTGGTCAGTATCTGCCTGTCCATGCTAGGCAAGGAATGAGTCTTTCTGGGGAACTAAGATTTGACCATGTACCCACTACCAAATATCAGATTAGATTATAGCAAAATATACTGCACACTGAAAGGGCTAAGCATGATTTATTCTCCGTCTGAGGGCTTAGGACGTGAAGTCTTGAATAGGTCATTATCTTAAACACCAATTTTATCCCGTCCTTTTTTTTTGTATAGAAGGGACTGAGCTGGGCTGATTAGTAATGACCTCAGTCTCCCAGGACTACCGGACCAATTTTCCAAGTGATTTTTATTCTCAGAAAATTTAGAGCGGTTTTGATTATATTTGTGTTTGAGGATTCTGGGTTGGTATATATTTACTATACTTTTAGAAAAAGAAATATTGGAATGTTCTCTACAAGGTTTGTCAGACATTTGATAGTCTATGAAACAACTGTTTTTGCTTGCTTCACCTATTTGAAAAACTTCTTAGGGATATTTGAGTTCCTCTGGCCCTGATTGGGCCATAATATGATCATGTGACCAAGCGTGGTCCTCAGGGACAGGGAGCTGGTAAGTTGGGCCAAAGTCACCATCTTTTATTTTTCTCAGTGGTGCTAAACTCGTGTTTCTTACCTCTTTATTTCTTCTCTCCTTTCTTACCCCTCCTCCAGGCACAAGAAGAAGAATACCCATTCATTCCTCAGAAGGACCCAGATCTCTGTCAGCGAGGCCTTTAACTTATGGCAGATCAACCTACATGAACTCATGCTGCGAGTGAAGGGGCTGAGGTTGGCCAGCTGGGTCTCGACCCTGATTTGCTGGCTGATGCCTGTTTCACATTGAGTGTGCCCCTGTCCCTTTCTAGTGTCCTTTCACTCCTGTCTTTCCTTAACTCCCTGTCTCCACCCAGTTGCCCCATTTCTGCCCCACAGTGGCCTACAGTCCCAGGGTCACTGTCCATGGCACTGTTACTCCACCGTTGGATGCTACTCCCTACTGCAGCCTTTTCTCGGGGCCTTTAGGCTGTACCATGGAATATATTGTTTTCCTTCTCCAGGGGCACGATGCATTAACCTCTTTCCCATGCATGTCTGTGAACCCGTGCTGTTATATCAGGGTGGCCCTATGTGCCACAGAGGGCACATTGAACCTGTAGGAAGTCTGACTTTGTGGGAGGTGGACCTGCTAGAGAGCAGGTTCCCTGTTCTTACCAGGCCACTCCCCAGTGGTGTCACCCCTAAGCAAGGCAGTGTGCCATCTGAGTAGATCCATACAGCTGTAGGCTTGCTGCTGTGTCACCATCCCTGAGTGTTTACTGTTGCGTTTCAGTAAATCCCCTCAAGATTGCAGGGCTTGTCCATCCTAGCTCATGGCCCCATTCCCACTATGTCCTGGCCCTTGCCAAGTGCTTTCAGCTCCTCTTGGTGGCTGCTTCCTAGGGTTTCCAGGAGGCTGAGGGGAGTAAGGTTAGGGCTTGGTTGCAGGATTTCTGTTCTTGGTTGGGGGTTAGTCCATGAGGCCAGCAGTGGACCTGAACACTGGATGCTACCAGAACCTTCTGCTTGGCTCTGGTTCCTGAGTCCTTGTAAGCTGTAGGTCTCCTTTTACAGTGGGGCCACTTTCCTTCCAGTCTCTTAGACCTGGGAGGTGTTAAGCCCAAGGCCCAGACTGAGAGGCTCAGGAGAGGCTTCAGGCTTTTTCCCTGGCTTCTTACTTTACCTCCCATGAGCGGGCTTCTGCCTTGCTCTACTGCTTTCCTGCTTACTCCTCTGGCTCTCAGCTGATGACCTCAGTTTCAGGTCTGGGATTCTGGCACGTCCTCTCAAGCCTTCTGGATGCTAGTCTTCTTACCAAAACAGCAGTCATTATGACTAGATTTTGTCTCAGAAACTTCCATGTCAACTGTTTGAATTCTGTTTCTACCCTATTGCCCACCACCAGCACCAAACTCCATCTTCTGCTCCTGTTTCTGTGACACCCCCAAACCTGCTCTAACTCCTGTGTCTATGTAGTCCTCTAGTTCCTAAAACCCCAGATTTGGCACGTCTTTGCCCCCTGAGCACTCAGATGGTAACTGTATTTAAGTCTCTGATCTTAACTCCACCCTTTTCATGGCAGCAGAAAAAAATCCTGAGCCTCAGCTTCATTTTCTGTTCTCTTTATTCATGATACAACACCCAGGTTTTTGGTGATTACAGATGATTTGCAATTCTTTTACTTCCAGAAAGAATTAATTGTTCTTTTTTTTTTTCTTTTATTATTCATATGTACATACAAGGCTTGGGTCATTTCTCCCCCCTGCCCCCACCCCCTCCCTTACCACCCACTCCGCCCCCTCCCTCTCCCCCCACCCCCTCAATACCCAGCAGAAACTATTTTGCCCTTAGAATTAATTGTTCTTAGTGACCAGTTGGACGCACCAGGGACCTGAGAGAATAATTTGCAGGGTCTGTTATTAATCATGTGGATGCATGCTGCATAATATATTTTATTGTGTCTTTTATAGCCACTGAAGTAAATACAAACGTCCTTTCTGTTGGAGAAAATGGTAACTTGTTTTTGACTTTGGGTGTACCAGTCAGCTTTTATGTCACTGGGATCCAACACATCAGCATCCAGAACAGTTATCTGGGGAGAGCAGAGAGGCAACAGTTGGAGGTGCAGGGCAGTTTGAAGATGGGGGAGTAGGCTGATGCTTATTTAGTGCCTTCCATGTGTGAGAGGCCCTGGGATGCTCTATAAATATGTCACAATGTTGAATTGTCCCAACAGCTCTCTCTCAGGGAAGGGTCAGAAGCCTCATCTTACAGAGGTAGGAACCAAGCTCATAGACATTTATTAATTTGCTTGTGGGTCACACATCTACTGATTGCTGGCCCGTGCTTTATTTTTAATTCCACAGGGCTCTAGATGAGGATTATACTTGCTCTTTGGGCTGTCTCATGTGCCTCTCAGATCTGTCTGGCACATAGATGTTCTGGCTTAATAGGAGGTGCTTGGTAGCACATTTAATTATTTTCAGGGAGGTTGAACTTGTGTTTGAAAAGCTGCATGTGTGCTCATCTTCCGCTGTCCCCCAAATAGGTGCTGCCTTGGCAGCCAGGTTAATTTCCACAGTATTTCCCTTCTGCTCCAAGATCAGAGATGGTCAGTCTCAGTATTGCAGGCCACCTGGAGTCCTCCAGCCGCAACAGCAGAGCTCTGACAGTGTGTCTAATGACATCTGAAAAAGCAAATGTGGTTCCTAAAGGTATCAGACCAGGGAGTGGGACTGCTGGGGGTTGGGCAGTAGCCCTGCGAGTAGAGAAGTGTGACATGGGCAGGCATGATGGGAAGACACAAAGGGAACCCAGGGCTGGTGACTGTCAAGATCCTAACTGACAGGATGAAACGCCCCCTCCCCCCTGCTTTCTGTTGTGCATTGGGTTGCATGGGGAGGAGTGACTCATATTTAAAGGGAGGCTTTGAATAGCAGATGACCTTGCTCCTGACCAAGGGGAACTAGGGAGGCCCAGCTGCCCCCCACCCCCAAAGCCTTCAGTCTGCAAAAAATCTGGTAAAAACCAAGTTTGGAAAAGCGCCATTTACTCAAAGGGCCTCCTTTTTCTCCTTCCCCGCTTTCCTTTTCTGAAGGAAGGATGGAACCAGCCCTGTGAGAGTCAGCGTGGAGCCCTGGGCCTTGGCTATGATGGCTGCTTCCTGCCCCTGCAGCCTCTGCCTCCTGATCTGGTTTGCCTGCTCCTAAAAGCAGCCTTACCACCGCCAGCCTGCTCCCTTCCACCCAGGTCACTGTGCCCCTGGCCAGCACTGTGGGGCATAAGGCTCTCTCTAGCTCTGCCTTTGGCTTCATTGTTGTAGAGTTCTGATGTTCTTCTGATTTTCCTCTTTTCTATGTACAAGAGTGAAGGACAGACTCAGGACTGGCATGATTGTGGCTCCCCTGCCCTGCCATTTCTGCTCCTGTGTCCTCCTCCCCTTTCCCTGCATGGCTGGACTAGATGTCCCTGTGTGATTAGTCCCCGGGGGTCTTGTGAAAGCCCAGATTCTGACTGTGGGCCAGACTGGTGCCTGGTACTCTGCATTTCCAACCTGCTTCCAAGTGATGCTGTCAGACTGAGAGAGACCTGGCTACTTCCAAATCAAAAGGCTCTCAGGAAAGTGGAAATGCAGATATACCAAAGGGAGGTAGTAAAAATGGTAGTGTATTTTTAATGTTTACTTTAATCACAAATGACCTTTTCATTTTTTTTTTCCAGTACTGGGGATTGAACCCAGGGCCTCGCACTTGCTAGGTGAGCATTGTACCACTTGAGCTATGCCACCAGCCCATGAATTAACTCTTTAGGCATGCACACAAATGTAATCATGAATGAACGGACATCAGAAACTTGAGCATTGAGCCCCTCCCCCCAAAAGACCTGCCTAGCACTAGGGTTTTGTTTTGGGAGTGTACTTGCAGTCCTAGAAGTAGAAATCACTAGTGGGGGTGATATGGAGGCTACTGGTCCCATGACCTGACACCCTCTGCATGGGTCTGACTGGGCAGCTACCCCTTGGTTCTCTTGCTCTTGGGAGCAAGAGAAAGTGTCACCTGGGCTGGTTGCTGGTTGTTTGGAACCTGTAAACTCCTCATCATGAATAATGGAAGTAGTTAGTGGCTTTGTCTCCAGGAGGGAAATAACGGAGAGAGAAGGCTAGAAGAGGGATAGCCAGCAGCCTCTCTGAGGCTGACATTGGGGTGGATGCAAAACCCTTCCAGGATTGTGGACAGGGACACAGGTCAGGGGCTCTGGCTGTTCTCCACCCTCTTGGAGCTGTCAGAAAGCACAGCTTAGCTGCCAGTGCTATGTAGCTGGTGGGAAAAGCTCCTTTCCTGCCAAAGGGAACCACATCACATAGAGTGTCTACAAACACTGTTGACAGTGCTGCCACCAGAACTGAGACCAATGGTATAGAGTAGGAAGTAAGGGCATGGGCTCTGGATTTGGCCCAAATCCTCAAGTTTAGATCTTTTTCTATAGAGTACCTACACTGCCTGTGTGATCTTGGGTAAGTAACTCAACTGATATGGGCCTCATTTCCTCAGTCTGAAAAGTGGAGATAATAGTACCTACTTCATAGGAATATTGAGAAGAGCAGTGTGATTGGAGAGGATGAACTACCTAGTAAATGCTCAATAAATGTTATTTTTTTGGTGGTAATGGGGTTTGAATTCAGGGCCTTGTGCTTGCCAGACATCAAGTAGTTCTACCACTTGAACCACTCCACCAGTCCTTTTATGGGTTAGGTATTTTTTTGAGACACAGTCTTGGAACAATTTGGCCAGGTTGCTTCAAACTTTGATCTTCCTATTCTCTGCCTCCTTAATAGCTAGGGTTGCGGTGTGAGCCACCAGTGCCTGCAATAAATGTTAATTATTAACCCCTATGATGGACTCGATTCCCAACTTCTTAGCTCTTGCCTACTTTCTACTTGAGAGACTAAAGAATTGAGATCTTATTCTTTCAGCCTCCCTTGCAGCTAGGTTGTTACATGACATGAGAGGTGAAAAGGAATCTTACAGAGGACTTTTTCTTTAGAAATAGGTAAGGGTATAAATACTTTGTGTTGCCTCTTCCAGCAGGGGAGGCTGGAGTTAGGTTTGGGATATCTGGAATTATGGCAACCATTCTGTGACCTTGAGGCAATAAATACAATATGATATTTGAGTACTGATAAAGAATTATGAGCCTCCAAATTTTAAATTGAATCTTTACCCCCAGTGTGACTGTATTTGAAGAAAGTGCCTTTAAGGGAGCAATTAAAGCTAAACAAAGTCTTCAACAGTAGAGCTCTAATCCTATGGGGTTGGTGTCCTTATAAAAAGAGTAAAAGAGACCAGAGTTTTCTGTCCACTTGCACAGAGGAAAGGTCATGTGAGGACACAGTGAGAGGCAGCTGTCTGCAAGTCAGAAAGCAAGGCCTGCCTTGATCTTGGGCTTCCAGCATCAGGAATTGTGAGCAATTCCTGTTGTTTAACCCAACCAGTCTGTGGCATTTAGATACAACAACGTGGGTTTTTATAAGCATCTTGCATCCCCTGCTGGGTGCTGGGCAGCACCCTCCCAGAACATCTGGCTGTTAAGTGGTGGGTGTGAAATAAAGCTTTTTCCTCATGCAGTGAGTAGCAAAGGATTCTTCATGGAGAACGTCTCAGGTTCCATCTGGAGTGAGACCTGAGTGGGGGAGGCGGAGGGGTGGCTCTGGTGTTCATTGTGATTGGATGGGGTGGGACCAAGATGAGGTGAGTGTGGCTGTGGGCTGTTTGTGAGACTGGATGTGTGACACATATCTGTTGTGGAGAAGAATGTGACTGGGCGCTTTTAGAGCACTCGAAGTTCCTTCTGGTGCTTGATAATCAGATGCTTCCTATACCTGTGGCTTGAAAGTGGCACCAGGCAGCCCTGTTGGGTCTCAAGGATACCAGCAATTGGTATCAATTTCCTGGGGTTGCTGTAAACAGCTACTGCAAACTTAGGGAGTGGTGTGACAGATTTATTCTCTCACGGATCTGGAGATCAGGCACCTAAAAATCCAGACTTAGATCAGGCTGTGTTCCCCCTGGAAGTGCTGGAAGAGAAGTTTTCTTTGCCTTCTCTGGGTTTCAGTGACTGCCTGCATTCCCCTGACTGTGGCTGTGTCACTCCATTCTTTGATCTTTTGTCACATCTCTTCTCTGGCCATCTACCCCCCTCTAGAAATACTCTTGTGATTACAGGGGGGCATCTGGATAATCAGGAAAATCCCCCCCATTGTTAAGATCCTTTTTTTTTTTATTGTTGTGCTGGGTGGGGTTACCTTGTACTATTTACAAAGGTTCTTACAATGAATTTAATCACATCTGCTAAGTCCTTGGACCATGACCTAAGGTAACTGGTCCCAGGGTCTTGGAGGTGGACATCTTTGGGAGCAGGGGGAACATTATTCTACTTACCACACCCTGGAATCCTGCAGGAGGCTTGTGAGTGCTGCAGTAGCCTTGTTCAAGTAAAACAATTAATAATTACCATTGACAAATGGCAAAACAGCAATAACAGTAATAATAATAATAGCTAATACTGAGCACTGACTATGTGCTTGCCCCTTCACGTGGATTCAGTGTCACAGGACAACTCTGAAGTCTAGGGACCACTG